ACAACGTTGCAAATTTTTGTACGGCTTATATTTTAATGGATTTGTTTCAAAAAAAATTAACATCTAGCTTTTGATTCTTAAGAATCCGTAATTTCTTCAGTTAATTTGCTTGTTCCAGTGAAGGCGTGTCCCTTGTATGGGTGAACGAATTGTGCACATTTGTATGAATTTGTAAGCCAGCGAGTCGGCAGTATGTTTTTCGCACAACACTGTAGGTTTCAAGCATGACTCCTAGTCACGGCGTAAATTATTTCTTATTTTTTACTATTTCACTCGGCAAGCCGTGAGCATTCAGTTGATTTTATTGTGATTGTAATTGCTAATGAATGTGGCAATATGGTATCGTACAGAGTTTATGCCAAAGCGTATGAAGCTTGCGTATGTCATAAATAGCCAAGGTACCGAGGTATCAACGTACAGATAGGTACCGATTCAGCGTGCTTTTCATTTGGCTAAAGTGAAACATCCTAATTAAAAGATAGTTTACGACTGCCGTAGTTGGACTTGCTCATAAATCTCGAAAAGATTGTTACTCTAAGTACCAAGTAATTTTAGAGCCGGCTTCATTAATTTGGATAAACCTTCAAATCCGTCCAGCCATGAAGTGGTTGCTTGGATTAAGCGTATTCTACGTGTCAACAAGACAGGTCACAGTGGTACCCTAGATCCGAAGGTCCGTTTCCTTTTTACATTGAGCAGATATTGTTTTTGTACGTTTAAATTATTAGGTGACGGGATGTTTGATCGTGTGTATCGAGCGAGCGACCCGTTTGGTAAAATCTCAGCAGAATGCTGGTAAAGAATACGTGTGCGTCTTCAGGCTGCATGGCGCTGTTGACAGTAAAAAGAAAGTTGTTCAGGTGATCGCTTTTGCTTTGTACAAACGTTGTTTGCTAATGAAAATTTTCAATTTCAATTTTAAGGCATTGGAACAGTTGACTGGAGCATTGTTTCAAAGGCCACCTCTGATTTCGGCGGTCAAAAGACAGCTGAGAATCCGCACTGTTTACGAAAATAAACTTCTAGAATTCGATCAAGATAAAAATATGGGTAAGTTTGACGGTTGTCCTTTTTGTTTTTAGTTTTGATTTTTTTCTAGGCATTTACTGGTGTAGCTGCGAAGCGGGAACATACATTAGAACGTTGTGCGTTCATTTAGGCCTGATTCTTGGCGTTGGTGGGGTCATGCAAGAACTGAGACGAGTTCGTTCCGGAATCATCTCGGAAAACGTAAGTTGTTATCGTTGATTTCGAAATATCTTTGGAGTTAAAACCAGGTATTCTCTGAATAATTTGAATATTTTGCTTTGCCTTTAAATCCTTTGTCAACAGCATCTATTAGTTCAACTAAGCTTAAGTTCAGTTGGGAAGCCGCAGAACCCTCTGGGACACTTGAAAGATAATTCGTCAGTTAAGGAAAGGTGTTCTTCCTTTTCCTGTTTAACTAAGGCAGGCGGTATTATGCTGTTAATGCGCACAAGCTGCTGTCATATTGGGACATTTCGACGTGAACGTGTGTCATTGTCGTGAATTTGATTTATATGATTGGGACTGCTTGTCTCTGTCAGCTACTTCATTTAATTCTTTAAGTTACATATGAATAAACTCTCTTTAAGTGCATTTAGAAAATTGTTTTATGATACTATGATGGCTGCATGAGGTAGGTCGTCGTTAAAATTGATTAATTCACAGTACTTATGGGTTGAGTTAGCGTTTTTTTTCTTTCTTTAAATTACTTGTACTAGCTCAGAAAGTTAGTAATTAAAAAAATCATTATTAACGTTGTCTGCATAATCGATTATTATAATGTACCTGATATTTTTAACTTATTGCTATGACGCTGATGAATGGATGCCATTCTTGGATTTTCCAAAAAGATTCGTGCAAATAAAATTTTGAGTTTCAGGTTTGCTAACATTTAGTATTGTACTCTTAAAATACAGATATCATTACTGCATTTCATGACTACGCCATACAAATGTGCGTTATAATATCACTAATGTTATAGTCATTCGCAACGGTTATTAATGTTTCATCAGCATCACGCCGTCTCCAGAGTTATTGGTGGTTGATAGCGGAAGCAAGTTGCTCGTAAATCGTTTTTCAACCCTTCTTCATTTAGGAAGTTTATGAAGTAACATCCATATTGTAGAGTATGACATTGACAGTTTTGAGATTTTTAAAATACCGCGTCAGGATAATTATTCGCCTGATATTGTGTGTTCAGTGCTCTAGTAGAGTTAGATGATCACATTTTCGGCGGAAGCAATGCCAAGCATCTAGTACTTTTTCTCAAATTCACCAAACCAACGATTCTGAAAACAAAATGCAAGGTGTACTGCATATCGTACAAATGTACAGGCTTGACAAAAATTTTTGTGTTCACAGACACCTTTATATTGAAATGTGAAAAGATGAATTAGGTCATAAAGATGACAATGATGTACATCTGCCAGTTTTACAGATGTAAAGTTGCAAACACGAGGTACTGCGCTCTGAGTTGATAACCTCACTGTCATCATGATGGAAGCATGACAAATTACAACTAATTCCATTAGTTTAAAATTTACTAATTTCGCATTATAGGGGCTTTTCGTTGGTATGTTTTCGTGAAGAGACAAAATCACACAGTTGATAGTTATACCGAATCAGACTTGCAGCCACAGAACTGCTCGCTAATACTATCCGTCGATCTGGGTCAGAAAGTCATTAACTGAGCTGGTGCAGTTGTACGCTTTTCAACTTTTTTGGCCTTCACTTGTATATTTCACCTTGTTGGCCATGTGGCATGACTGACCTAAACATATAAAGCCTAACATAAAATATTTAGCGGGCTGCGGGTCAATGTGTTTTCTTAATTTTCTAATGGAGAAACACCATGGATTTGAAATGATCTGCTGATATTCATCAAAATATTTTTTCGTTTCATTCCTCTAGCCATCTGCGCTTAACTATCTGCTTTGCTTTTTTGCCTAAACGACTGTTTTCAGGATCATATCGTAACGATGCACGACATTATCGATGCTCAGTGGTTATATGATAACCACAAAGATGAGACGTATCTTCGGCGCGTTGTAAAACCATTGGAAAGTTTACTTATCAATTACCGACGGATCATCGTCAAAGACAGCGCCGTAAGTGTCATTGCTGTATATAGCCTTCGTCTGGCAGTCGATCAGCAAAGGCTGATGACGATGCTTTGTACGGATAAAAATCATTTCATTTTCGCAGGTGAATGCTATCTGCTACGGGGCGAAGATCTTGTTGCCCGGTATCTTGAGGTACGACGACGGAATTGAAATAAATCAGGAAGTTGTGGTGGTTACGACCAAAGGCGAAGCCATCTGTTTGGGTACAAATGCATCTGAGCGATGTATGCTGTTTCCTGTTCGTTCTTTTAACTTTTTTATTTTCAGCAATTGCTCTCATGACCACGGCTTCGATCTCCACATGCGACCATGGCATCGTAGCCAAAATCAAAAGGGTTATCATGGAACGTGATACATACGCAAGGAAATGGGGCCTTGGACCAGTGGTTTGTATTGATGTTTTTCGTCACTGCCTCGTTTACGGGATGTACAAATTCTAGGCTATCAAAAAGAAGGCAATGATAAAAGAAGGTCTTTTGGACCAGTATGGTAAGCCAAACGAAAAGACTCCAGCGAACTGGCAGAAAATATACGTTACTTCCAGGTAACCGTCTTCTTTTCAATGATCATCGGTTTTGGCTGATTTTATATTTTAAATGAACATAGAGTTTAGCGGTAGTTATTTAGGCATGACTTGTGACCTAAGTTTGTCAGTACGTTTAAGCTGTACCTTAATGTTTTTAGTACCATTAAGCCAGAAGTTCACAATGCTGAGGAGACTGCAGAAGGTTCCGTGAAGGTTGGTAATTTAATTAATTCTTTAATTGTTTGTAATTCTAATACATTCATTTATTTTTCAGGGTGAAACAGTGAACAACTCTGATGAGAAAAAGAAAAAGAAACATAAGCATAAACATGTGAAAATAGAGGAAGATCAAGCAGACAAAATTGAACAGGTAATTTTCATGATTCTGTAGGCGCGTGGTAATCTTAACTGACTTTATATTTTGCAGCGTTTTTTCTTGTACTTAAACTTCTTTCTTTAAGCCTTTGTATACATAGAATGAATATATTTGTTGGCTATTTTTTAAGATAACCGTAAAATTTTTTAGATGCTGGTTTTTAAGGTTTGTAGACGGATCATGACCCTAGTTTTAGATTAAAGTTTATAAACATATTTATTGACATTTTTTTCATTTAGTAGTTTAAATAGCTCAGTTCAGATTCGCCGAGGGCCAAACCGCTGTTGAATGCGGAGCAAGATCTGCAGCGACCTTGCATCTCAGTTCTGTGATCTAACTATGGGTAGGATTAAATCTTGCGTAGTGAGTCTACCATTTTTTGGATGATGAGTCCTGTTTTGATTCCGAGGTCGTGGTTATCCTTGGTACATTTTCATTGATATAAGTATTAAGGGAAGAACAAGGTGATGTATTTGTAACGAAACACGCACGCGAGTTTAAACATCGTACATTTATTCATAACTTAACCATGTAACATTTTGGGCATCTAGTAGTTGATTTGCTTTCCCTTCTGAAAGCATTCGCACAATGTGTCCAGACCACCAAATCTTTAACTTTCCACCATCTAGAAGCAGCAGTTGTGCAGCTGTCATATCTCAGGTATCTCTACTCCGGACTATGTCGAAACGCATGAGCCCCTGCGATTCGTCTCAGAAACCCATTTCAGCCGCTTGTACCCGGTATCGAAGTTCTTAAGTCATGGCCATGACTCATAACAGTATATGAATATCAGGATGAAGATCGAGTTGAATACAGAGCTTATTCT